TAATGATAATAATAGGTTAGTAAAATGGAAAAATCTTTTGTATTGGTTTTTCTTATATATGACACAGCACACGAAGGAAGAAGTGCACAGCATACCATTAAAAAGAACTAAAGTTGAGGGCAAGGTACTGGCTGCGGTTCACCTAAGCAAGACTAAATTAACCCTTATGCACCCTGTGCACGGTGATCCTGGGACTAAGGTGGTCTGCCCCTAGATGTGGTCTGCCCCTAGATGTGGTCTTGGACCGCTACCGCTCACAGGATGAGTATGGGGTGGACAATAAACTAGCCACCTTCGGCGGCAACAATAAATAAAAATTGGATCATATTCTGTAGATGCTTAAGTTAAAGGCCTTAGAGCATGGAGGTAAGAGATATGGGGTGACCCAAGACAAATGAGTGTCAAAGATTTACCTCAGAAGTTTAGCAGAATCCTTAAACAAAAGAGGATGGGTATGGTGTATAAAGTGACAAAAGGGGTTGAAGAATGACCTGCTTTTGAGTAAAGGTCATAGCACAAATTATAGTTGTAGAGAGCTTGAAGCCATTATTGTTGGCCCAGGACATGGCATCAATCACAAGTTGAAGCCACCGTTGGAGGAAAGGCGAGTTATCACCTTGACAACAGTGGGTAAGAACGTCAACATACAGAGCTGAGAAAATGGAAGAGGGAATGAAGGAAAAAAGACCATTGAAGGCAACCAGGAAAAGAATAGTACTCAGAACACTACCTTGGAGTACACCTTGGTATTGCCAAAAAGAGGCAGAGAAAGTGGTACCAAGCCTCACTCGAAAAGAGTGACGAGAGAGGAAGCTCTGGAGGAAGAGAGGGAGATAACCATGAAGGCCAAGAGAACGAACTTGGGACATAATATGGTATCTCCAGGTGGTGTCGTATGCCTTTTCCAGGTCAAAAAGACACCAACCACAGAGGGTCTTCGCAGCAAAGAAAGCACGAATATTGACCTCCAAGTTCACAAAGACATCAGTCATGCTGTGTCACTTGCAAAAGTCAAATTGAGAAAGGAAGAGGTGGTGATAGTGTTTCAAGAACCACATCAGACGGACATTGACCATATGTTCAAAGAGTTTGCAGACAACGCGTGTGGACATGGGGGCGGAAGTCTTTAGGAGGGGATGACCCTAGAGAACCAGGTTTCCGAATAGGAAGAACCACCTCAAGCCAGTCCTCAGGGACTGACGACGACTCCCAGACATGGTTATAAACATTCATTAAATACTGAAACAAGCATGGTAGGAGATGGTGAAGCATCTCGTAATGAATATTATCTGAACCCGCCACCTTGGAACCGCAGAGGTCCAGGGCAGACTGGAGTTCTGAGTGAGAGAAAGGATCGTTATAGGGAAGCCGAAGATGAGTGTAGAAATCTAAGGGACAAGATTCAAGAAGCGGCTTATGAGTAGGGAAAGGAAGAGGAAGATGAGAATTGGAGCTAACCGTCGAAAAGTGTGAACCCAGTTCGGTCACGGCTGACACCAAATCTGCCACAATTGAACCACAATTTAAGGACTGGTGAGACATCTGGAACAAACTTACCTGCTATGTTGTGGATTTTCTTCCAGATCAGGGGCAGAAGAGTGTCATAATGGTGGACACGAAAGAGCTCCAACTCTCACTCTTAGCTATATGGATGGCCCTACGGGCTCCCTGTACTCGCCTTCTGAAAAAAAAGAAAAGAATCGGGTGTTCGTCGGCGATGGTATTTCTTCCAGGCTGCTTGCTTACAGTGGACGGCCCAAGCACAGTCTGCATTCCACCAGAGAACGCACTTCAGTGTGCCCAGGGAGGTAGTGCCAGGAACAGAGTAGAAGGCAGCATAAAAAACTGTCATGAAATAGGAGGAGGGCTCCAGGGAGAGGCAGATCAGAGAGGTCGGAAAGAGTGGTGCATAAGGTGAAGATGTTCCAGTCAGCCTTGGCAAACTGCCAACTAGGGAAGGAGAGGGGATGGTGACAAGGATAGGGATATGGTCACTGTTATGGAGGTCATCAAGAACCTGCTAGGTGAAGTCCAAATAGAGAGAAGATGAGCAGAGAGAAAGATAAAGACAGGAATGGATACGTGCGGGAGTCAACATGAGTAGGCTCACCAGAAATCGGAAGAGACAGAGAAGGAGAGAGGACAAATGGTTCAAGGCGACGGCTCTGGGTGTGTCAGAACATCTCCCCAGAGGGTATGCCGACAGTTTAAATGACCCAAAACGAGCACAGGCTCTAGTAATTAGTCCAACAGGTGTGTAAAATCAGGAGGAGAAAGCGGGAGATTTGGGGAGAGAGAAACGGGATGGACTGTAAACCTTACAAAGATACAAGCCGCAGAACACAGAATGGGCGACTGAAAAAGTAGGTAGACGAAGGGAATATCATGACAGATGAAGAGAGCAGTAGAGTTTTGGGCCGCAGAAAAAGATGGAGAGGAAGACAGAAAGGCATAACCAGGGAAGTGACCTGGACAAGCGCCAAGCATCATCATCTGGAGACAAACACAAAGCGGTGAAAACTGCGTGATCAGAAGTTCAAGTTCTTGGAAATTGGCATAAAAATCACGAATATTCCATTGAAGAACAGACAACAGAGAGAACTGAAACAGAGATAACAAGGGAAAAACAAAGGCAAAGAAGAACACAGCAGACTAAGTAAGATCATGACTAGGATCAGTAAAATCGGGGTGATGGGGCATAGACAAAGCTAGCAAAGATAATGGAGGCAAGGGAGTGGGAAGGCGGACCAGAGGCAGACTGACAGAGTCGGGAGTGGGAGAGGGCATCGGAGAGGGGCGGTCGAGGGAATCAGGGGGCAGGGAGGACAGAAACAGAAGAATGCACCGAATCAAGGGCATCATCAAGAGAGAACCAAGCACCAAGGGAACCTCCATAGCAATGACAGGTAACTGCCACTGAAATGGGAGGGGGAAGCAGGGATAGTGTCTGAGTCAGACGGTGAGGAATATATTGAAGCCGTTTTACCTGCTGGGGAGAAAGGAGAGGAATCAGACTTACGTTACTGATGAAGAGAGACAGGTACCATGTACCGGGCGACACCCTCAACTGTCTCAACAGCAGAAAGAGAATGGGAAAGGTCAACATGAAGAATGCTGGGAGGAGGACCAAGAGATGGAGGGGAGGGCTGAGAAGAAGGATTGGGCAAAAAGGGAAAGAGGGCACAGGAGACGAGGAAGATCAGGAAGGAAGGAAACACCAGACAGAGAACCAGGAGGAAGACCCTCTGGCCCAGAACGCAAAGGAGCAGGTGAGGTCATGGTGGAGGTGTCAGGGTCCAAGGCCTAAAAATGGTTGTGAAACTGAGAAAGCGGGAGAGGGCGAGGAGAAGAGGAACGCAATACACGAACATAAGATATGCTAGAGAAAGAGGGAAAACAGCGAATCTGGTGTCTCACCTCAGGAAAAGACAAGTGATCACGATGTTTCAAATTGAAGATGGCGTCCTCAAATTTGTAGTGCACACGTGTGCGGGAGAAGGCAGGGGTGGGCGTCACCGCAATTTATGCAACGAGTTGGGAAGAAGAGCACTGTCTTAGAATGACCCCAGGCTCCACACAAGGGGCATAGACTCGAAGCTCCACACCTCACTTGTACACCTGAAGGGACCATGCCCAAATCTCCAGCACCTGCTGCAGAGGCGAGGAGGGGATGTACTCCTGAACGGAGCATCTGGCACCAGCAAGAATGAGGGAAGATGGAAGGGACCTATTATCATACGGGACCTTCACAATGCGAAGAGGCTGACGATGTAACAACGTATCTATCTGGAGGATAGAATGGCCTTGGGCCTCAAGGATATAGTTAATATCCTCGTGGCAGTCTTTCAGTTCCCTATCACCATTTGCAACATGGTGGGGAGAGAAGAATTGTGCCAATTCTGGCATTTAACTGGACATTTTTGGAGATCCGAACAGGGGTCTCTCAAGTGCAGGACAACGAAGTCAAGTGGTCAGCCGCCTCCTGAGAAGGCGCTGTAACAACATGTATACGAGTATGGGTGGGGGTTGAAAGTGACAAATGTATCCATGGAATCAACAGGGTGTTTATGAAGGAATAAATCATCAGGACGAGTAGGTTCCTGATGACCAATCAGCCTGGAGAGTATTAGATGGGAAGAAATCATACGAATGCATCCCTGGTAAGAGAGGGAGTAAAAGGCACAGTTATGACACGAGACAAGAGCCACGCCAGGTGATGAGGTAATCACCACTGGGGGCTTGGGGCTCAACCCTGTCACAGAGGTAGGAGGGAAGCAAAGAGAGTCAGTTAGGAGTCAGAGAAGTAGCATGGTCTGGGTCCAATGTAGCGGGGTCTATAGAGCCCGGCCTGAGCACAGTCAGACTTGGAGGCCTGGTTGCCTACGCCTGAGAAGTTAGAGGGGTCAGAAAAAGGCATATAAAGGAACAGGAAGACGTTCATCCACGAATAAGCCCCATACTCACCATTGAACCACAATTAGAAGTCAGGACACCTGACAAGATAGGGTTCCCCCCAGGGGTACATCGTGGATATAGAGCCCTGCAATCGTCACCTTAAGTCCGTCGAGATTTGGCTCAGCAAGGAAGGCAAAGTTTGACAATAAAAGCGTCTTCTCGCTCGACAACATTAGGTACCACAGTTCTACAGGTGAGAGAGTGTGCCTTCCCAAACATCCGGCGTACGCAACGGGCTTGAAAGGGAGGGGGAATTAGACGATTAATTCCTTTATACTGTAATATGTAGTGGTATTATGCTGTGGCTACTGGTTGGTTTGATTGTTGTTTGGAGTTAATTACTTGTCATTCGTGCATGAACATGTTGGCTACATGATTAAGTAAACATGGGACAGTAATTATAAAGGTTTTTGTCTTATGGGTTTGCTTTAAAAATGTCATGTTTGGTGGTTGCGTGTAAGGTGACGTGTATGGAGAAGGCCGGCTAATATTGCCTTGGTGTGGTAGTAATAGTGGAGGCAATTATGTGTGGATTATGCTTGCAGGTGTGGCAAGGAGAGGACGAGGGAGTTATGGTGTGGGTAGGCCGGCCACGGCTCTCCCGGGCGGTGGTGTCTGGCATGCGTCCCCTGGTGGCCTGCCTCCTCCTCCTCCTGGTCGCTGCAGCCGTCTTCACTCTCCATGCTGGTAAGCAGCTCTATATTATTCCTTCTTTATATTAAAGGTAAGTGTAGAATACATATTTGTCCTCGAACACTGATAGTTTTATGCAGGGGTCGTATCCTTTATGCCTATAGTGCTTTGCTAGAATTCTGAATTGGCAACACATTTTTGTTCAATTTAACGTGAAAAACGAATCAATAAATTAAAGTTATCCATCGGAACACCTTATCACTTACTTCAGCCTGTTTCTCCAACTTATGTAATTGTCCCTTCTGGGGGACTTTGTCAGGTGCTTGATTCTACTGGCTAATACTCCTATTTTGTGGGGTACAATACCACTCTCCCTCTTAAACACGCATGTGTGTGTCATGTGCATCATTACAAGGGTTCCATTAACGTAAGCACCCGCAGGATGCGCCCTCCTGATAATGTAAAATTAATATTTCCCCCGCCCCCCAAAAATTATATAATTTGAATGACCTACAAATACATATATTACACAACTTACACGTAGAAAGAAGTTAATGTATTATTAACAGTAATTCCCTGGAAATAAGCCACAACATTGCCCATCAAAATCTGACATTCTGTTTCATGACACGATTCCATAAAGAGCATATGCAAAAAATAATGTGTACTAGAATGCTAGCACTGAAGAATTGACTATTATTGCATATATAGCACAGTTAAATCTGAGGGTCTCCCTCCTCAGTGAAAATAGTATTATGAACTAATCACTCTCACTCTTGCTTCCACATTCTTCCTCCTGGCTACTCTACATAGTCCCGTGAATTTAGCTGTTAATTTACCTTCTAGTGCTGTGTGCATTCTGTTGATGAAAATCTTGTCTCCTGCCTTAATTTCTTTTGCTTTGACTTATATTTAAATTAGCTTCCGCCACCTCGGTTAACTTCCTTAAGTGCAATTTAACTTGGTCAAATGTTTTTTGTTGCATGAGAGCAGACATGCTCCAGAAATGTAAAGCATAGCAAGGCGGTTGAGCACTGGTAAAGGTTGCATATGGCAACCTTGGGTTAAAACCATTGGTTATCGATAAGGCATATTTACCGCAGTCTACTGCCGACTAAATCTCGTCCCAAGCCTGTAACCGCTACTAAAATATTTTAATATTGCTATTACTTCTGTGTTGTGCCATTATGTTATGTCCATTCATCCACGTGTAAACCTCTGTCATGTCACACCTAACTCCTCGCCTTTTCCATTGAATGCAATTTAATTACTGGACAATAATATAAATCACAACAATTGTCCAAATACAACACTTCGAAGGTTTGGTGAGCTCGTCGGTTGGGCGGAAAATTGTGCTATTCCTATGTCGCGAAACTCAAGTATTGTGCCGGTGCTGATTATTACTGAGAGGTGGTGCGTGGTATCGTCAGGACGCCCATGCGCACACTGGCGTCGCTTGGGGTCTCCTTCCCCGGCCCCGCTGTGGCTCCAACCATCAACAAGGTTCCAAATTCGTCATCATCGACTTAGGAAAGTAGACCCTGGATTTGATTCACATTCAGTTAAATTCAGTTCCAAAGAGCATTTTTTTTATCATTTAACCCTAAGAATGGAGATTTAATGTTTTCAAAGGAGGAATATTGTGCGTAAATAACGAATTTGCTTACGTGGCAACATCCCATTTTCTCTGAGAAGACACTAAACATAGTTCCTTTAATGATTCTCTTATGATTATGAGCGAGTTAGTAAGATTAGTAGGTAATCATAACATAACTATTTTGCTTGGTATGTTAGGGGTTAGTAATTTCCTGTCGAAATTTCCGACAGTGGGGCTGAAGGAGGGGGGAGGAGCTGAAGGAGGGGGAGGGGCTGAAGGAGGGGAGGGGCTGAAGGAGGGGGGGGAGGGGCTGAAGGAGGGGGGAGGGGCTGAAGGAGGGGGGAGGGGCTGAAGGAGGGGGGAGGGGCTGAAGGAGGGGGGAGGGGCTGAAGGAGGGGGAGGGGCTGAAGGAGGGGGGAGGGGCTGAAGGAGGGGGAGGGGCTGAAGGAGGGGGAGGGGGGCTGAAGGAGGGGGAGGGGCTGAAGGAGGGGGAGGGGCTGAAGGAGGGGGAGGGGCTGAAGGAGGGCGTGGGGCAGAAAGAGGGGGAGGGGCTGAAGGAAGGAGGGCGTGGGGGCTGAAGGAGGGGGAGGGGCTGAAGGAGGGGGAGGGGCTGAAGGAGGGGGAGGGGCTGAAGGAGGGGGAGGGGCTGAAGGAAGGAGTGGGGCTGAAGAAGGGCGTGGGGCTGAAGGAGGGCGTGGGGCTGAAGGAGGGGAGGGGGCTGAAGGAGGGGGTGGGGCTGAAGGAGGGGGTGGGGCTGAAGGAGGGGGTGGGGCTGAAGGAGGGGGAGGGGCTGAAGGAGGGGGTGGGGGCTGAAGGAGGGGGTGGGGGCTGAAGGGAGGGGGTGGGGGCTGAAGGAGGGGGTGGGGGCTGAAGGAGGGGGGTGGGGGCTGAAGGAGGGGGGGGGGGGGCTGAAGGAGGGGGTGGGGGCTGAAGGAGGGGGTGGGGGCTGAAGGAGAGGGAGGGGCTGAAGGAGAGGGAGGGGCTGAAGGAGAGGGAGGGGCTGAAGGAGAGGGAGGGGCTGAAGGAGAGGGAGGGGGACTGAAGGAGAGGGAGGGGCTGAAGGAGAGGGAGGGGCTGAAGGAGGGCGTGGGGCTGAAGGAGGGCGTGGGGCTGAAGGAGGGGGAGGGGCTGAAGGAGGGGGAGGGGCTGAAGGAGGGCGTGGGGCTGAAGGAGGGCGTGGGGCTGAAGGAGGGCGTGGGGCTGAAGGAGGGCGTGGGGGCTGAAGGAGGGGGAGGCGATGGAGGAGGGGGATGGGCTGAAGGGAGGGGTGGGGCTGAAGGGAGGGGTGGGGCTGAAGGGAGGGGTGGGGCTGAAGGGAGGGGTGGGGCTGAAGGAGGGGGAGGGGCTGAAGGAGGGGGAGGCGATGGAGGAGGGGGAGGGGCTGAAGGGAGGGGTGGGGCTGAAGGGAGGGGGAGGGGCTGAAGGGGAGGGGCGGAGGAGGGGGTGGGGCTGGAGGAGGGGGTGGGGCTGAAGGGAGGGGAGAGGGGCTGAAGGGAAGGGAGGGGAGGGGCTGAAGGGAGGGAGAGGGGCTGAAGGGAGGGGGAGGGGCGGAGGAGGGGGAGGGGCTGAAGGAGGGGGAGGGGCTCTGAAGGAGGGGGTGGGGCTTAAGGGAGGGGGAGGGGCTGAAGGAGGGGGAGGGGCTGAAGGAGGGGGAGGGGCTGAAGGGAGGGGGTGGGGCTGAAGGGAGGGGGTGGGGCTCAAGAAAGGGTGGGGCACAAGGATGTATGGGGCCCAAGGATGGCGAGGTCTAGGAGGATGGGTTCAAGGGGCAAAATATTTCCATAGGAAAGGTGGCGAAGAATCACATGATAACCGGGCCACAGGTCATCTTGGGCTACATTCCTCCCGTCCTGGAATTATCGATAAGATGGTCCCCAGGAGCAACGTGCTTCCTGGGCGCCTGGGAGACTTAGAGATCACTCGGGTACAGAATGGCCCTTAGGTCTGACCTCTCTGTTTTGTCGGAGGTAAATCCCATCAGTATTTATGATGTCTAGAAACGTTGCCACTGCTTTTGGTAACAGGGGAAACAGAGATCTTTAAACGTTAATGTTTTTGTAGTGTGTTTTGTATCAAACAAATTTGTATTATTTGATACTAACGAGCATGGGTGTACGTTGTGGTGGGGTAGTAATTAAAAGTTTAACATTTCACTCCATGGGTAAAAAGTTTGATAAAACTATTGCTGTTGGATCTGTATCTCTAGCTGTTATGTGACATAAGGTATACTACTACCACCACCACCACCTGTACCCTGGGCTAGTGTATCAGGTAAAAACCCACCACCACCACCTGTACCCTGGGCTAGTGTATCAGGTACACTACCACCACCACCACCTGTACCCTGGGCTTGTGTATCAGGTACACACCCACCACCACCACCTGTACCCTGGGCTAGTGTATCAGGTACACTACCACCACCACCACCTGTACCCTGGGCTAGTGTATCAGGTACACACCCACCACCACCACCTGTACCCTGGGCTAGTGTATCAGGTACACTCCCACCACCACCACCTGTACCCTGGGCTAGTGTATCAGGTACACACCACCACCACCACCTGTACCCTGGGCTAGTGTATCAGGTACACTCCCACCACCACCACCTGTACCCTGGGCTTGTGTATCAGGTACACACCCACACCACCCACCTGTACCCTGGGCTAGTGTATCAGGTACACTACCACCACCACCACCTGTACCCTGGGCTAGTGTATCAGGTACACACCCACTACCACCACCTGTACCCTGGGCTAGTGTATCAGGTACACACCCACCACCACCACCTGTACCCTGGGCTAGTGTATCAGGTACACACCCACCACCACCACCACCTGTACCCTGGGCTAGTGTATCAGGTACACACCCACCACCCCCAACCACCTGTACCCTGGGCTAGTGTATCAGGTACACACCCACCACCACCACCACCTGTACCCTGGGCTAGTGTATCAGGTACACTCCCACCACCACCACCTGTACCCTGGGCTAGTGTATCAGGTACACACACCACCACCACCACCACCACCTGTACCCTGGGCTAGTGTATCAGGTACACCACCAACCTGTACCCTGGGCTAGTGTATCAGGTACACACCCACCACCACCACCTGTACCCTGGGCTAGTGTATCAGGTACACACCCACCACCACCACCTGTACCCTGGGCTAGTGTATCAGGTACACACCCACCACCACCACCTGTACCCTGGGCTAGTGTATCAGGTACACACCCACCACCACCTGTACCCTGGGCTAGTGTATTAGGTACACTCCCACCACCTGTACCCTGAGCTAGTGTATCAGGTACACACCCACCACCACCACCACCTGTACCCTGGGCTAGTGTATTAGGTACACTCCCACCACCACCACCTGTACCCTGAGCTAGTGTATCAGGTACACACCCACCACCACCACCCTGGGCTACTGTACCCTGGGCTAGTGTATCAGGTACA